ATTGTTTGCAATAACTATTTGTAATAACTGTTATTGTAAGTTGTATTATTGTTTGTGTATTAAAATATATTTGTATTAAAAAAAACGAAAACTTTGTGTATCAATCTTGTCGGCAAATATCATAAGTTGGAGATATATCGGCATTTATTTAAATACTAAATTTAAATTACCATCTAGTTCGATTTCAAACCATTCGAAATTGTAATACGTAACAATATCATTATTTTGATTGTTTGTTCGTTGAATTTTGCGCAATGTTACCGAGGATAATCTGAGCTAGCCATCCTTAATTTCGAGTTGATAGACTAGAGGGAAGAAAAGTAATCAAGCCAACCTTTGGGCTGTTCTTTTCAGATCATATAGTGTGATTTGACTGTCACTCTTAGAACGCATCTATGGCCCCAAAATACGGGACGCGATTTTTTTGGGCGGTAACGGGACGTAAACCGCGGAACGTCAGATTCATGGTCAAGCACACAAAGGACTTGGCGGTATTCAGCTCACTTATTTTGAAGTTAGGCTATTATATACGTAGTACGTTATGTTATAGACAGTGTAAGGTGGAACCTATATATCACTACCTCCATTTTCTGTGTATCTTTTATTATTATACCAAATAAAATCAGCGTGTAGTGAATTGATATTAGTATTGTATTTCAGATGATTATCCACAAGAATATAACGTATGGAGTATATATGATATCGATGTTATGTCTGGAAAACAAAATAATATTATTCTCTAACGAGGTTGCTCTGGCACTATGAAGAAAAGGTGAGAGAACCAAGTTCTTGAAGTAAGGAATATAACGCAAACATCAAGTATTTGTATCGTTCAACACGTACTTCACCGTAAGCCCATTATTTGTGTTAATAATATCACCAAAAGTATAGTAATTCTTTTTCGACGACTCGAATGGTACTTGATTTATTATATATTAATTCATGGCTAGGTCAGGAACACAGTAGTCTGTGTTAAAGTACAAGGATATTCCTGTTTTAATAAAACTTCATGGAATAGCGTTACGTAATACTTTGCATCAAATAACCTCAATTTTTAACAGCATCAAAGCTTTCTGAAATAAAATACATTCTGAAGATTTGATGAGGATTAACGGTGATCTCTGTGGAATAATTCCAATTCTCCATTTGGAAAATTGCGTGCGGAACTTACAGCTACGTTTTTCCAGAAACAGAATTAATTTACTTTTATATTTTGATGCCATTATCAATGATACATGAAGCACTATAGAGGACTTTTACTTAAACTCCCTTTTAAGAAGACTAGAAATCATGTGAAGTAGGGAAAACCAGTTTATCTGGCCTAGTTTATATCTCACATTTTTACAAGCCTTTCCACAACCATACTGGTTTCACATTAGGAAACACTGAAGTTTTATATAAAGGATGCACCTCTAATGGCATACTTCATAATACTGTGTTTGACAGTTACTGCTTTATTTGGTATCGTGCCTTATTTCTTTGTCTCTTGAATTATTTTCTAGTCATATGTCTACTTCGATCGTACCATATCACATAATAACAAAAATGTATTTATAGCACTATTTTAATTGTTACTCCTCCATGACATCATTTTCCTAAATGATGTCCCACGCTCCTCTACATGCTCAGCTTAAATAAAAGCTCTGCTGTAATTCATCAATTGTTGTGCCTAGTCGAGCTTATTAGGTGGAAAACTCTGAATCAGAGATTATCATTAGCATAGATATTTACATTATATTATAGACGATTTAAATAATAATATTTAAGGTAATAAGTACTTTCAGAGTCACTATGTAAGGAAGTAAGATAGTTAAAATGACACACTGCTACAACATAAGAAAGCAGGAAAATTCAAACTACGAAGGTTATTACGCATAAGTCTGAAAAAATCGCATACTGGTAAGATTTAGGAAAACGAAAAAATTTGAAACTATATACTACGTTACCTACAAAATCTGAAAAGGTTACACGCACACTGCTGCAATTTAGGGAAAGAAGAAATATAAAACTGTAAACTAAATTATGCATATAGTCTGAAAAGATCACACACATTGCTAAAATCTAAGGTAACAGGAACATTGATATGAGAAGATAACATTACACATAATAGCTTAATTTAATTGTAAGTTGTTCTAATGAGCTGTTACAAGACTGGGTTTTCTGAGTGATGCATGAGTTGTTATCTAACCAGCTAACTAACTGTTAAATGAGTTGTTAATTTTTGTTTATATATTTTAACGTATCACTGTTTGTTGCACAACTAAGTTATATTATGTAGTGTTATGCACTAGTTACTTAATCTAAGATCACACGTATTTTACTATATGATAATTATATTTTAGAAGACCACAAAAGTGTTGTTATATGACTTGTTATACATTCTACAGTCAAGAATGTTATTATGCGACTGGTTATCCGTTTCTATGGTTACACTAATAGTTTTTATTGAATCCATTTCAGGGTCACACCATAAGGGTTTTTATAGGACTGGTTATCACTTTTAGAGCCACATTAAGAGTTTCCATACAGTTAATTAAGTAGAGAAGGTTGAGTACGTTATATGAAAATGATTTTGAATATGTAAATCAGCAAGTCACGTGATGACCATATTCGACATTAAGTCATGGTGGAATGAAATGTATCCGAATTACATTTTGACATTGTATGACATGTTGTAAGTAATGTGACGCCACCAAAAACTGATCGCTTTTGGGAATGGTATGTAACAGCCCTTTTCGATGCAGAATATTGATACATTCAGTTCATAAATACGTGCTCAGATAGGGGATTTATAATCTCTAAGACAGGGAGCTGCTCTTGTATTTAATGGCACTGGAAAACAAAGAAATATGTATCAAAAGCTGTCCACGTGTCGCAGACAACAACGCCGCAACATAATGAAGAAGAATATCCGTCTAGAAAAGCGACATCTGTCATGTATACACAGGTTCCTTCTATAACATGTGCATTCACTAGATGGAGTATGGAAAGCATCAGGAAAGAGTGGTATGCTTCGGACATGACAATATTAAAACAAGGCCTTTTGCAATGGAACCCACGCTGCAGGGCTATTGTCGAGATGCACAGTCTTCAAATATCATATGCTAGATGTAGCAACAGGGATTGTAACGATGTGATAGGCTCGAAATATAACTTACTCAACCTCTGTATTAAAGGATCAGGCAGGTGACGTATGTATGCTTATAGTATTGGTTATGTATTGTAATTTAATGGGTAGGCTATTACAGAAATGGTTATCAATTTTATTATCACGCGTGTTTTTATATACTATCGAGGGTCAGATATTTGCCCTTATAGTAGAGGTTAACAGTTCTAGGAGTCACGTGAGTGCTGTTATACGACCAATGATCTATTCCAAGGTTACACGGCCTTTTATACAACCGGTTATATATTTTAAGGTCATAAATATAATTTAATATAACTATCCAGTTATTGTACATTCTCGTTTGTGTTCGTGTACGTCTTATTTTATATTTTAACTTCATCACGTGTATGTTGTTTTAGGATTAACTATTGAAACGTCACAAACGTGTTACCATAGCTTTGGTTATCTATTGGAGGCTTATTTGTATGTTTGTTTTCCGAACAAAGCCACACTGGGCTATTTGTTGTGTCCACCGCGGGGAATCGAACTCCCGATTTTAGCGTGGTAAATACGTAAGCTTACCGCTGTCCCACCGGGGGACCTATTGTAGACTCTTGCATTCCTTCACCAACTTTTAATAGTAATACAAATGTTATACATCACATACTTTTCAAAAATGTGTGATTGTCTTTCCTGTCAGGATTTGCCTTGTTTGTTGGTCATCACCAATGAAGAGAAATCCTAATAAATTGATTAGCAGTGGTAAAAGGAGCACTATAACTAATAAATAATTTGCTGTCATACTCGTAGTATCTGTCAAAAAAACAAAAACAAAACAAAAACCTGTGGCGGTTATGCTTTACATACGCATGATAAATGAGAAACAATCTCAATAACATAAATCGTTATAATATTTTGTACTAATGTTTAAAAAAGGCAAAAAAAAAACTTACCAAAAATGACTATGGAGAACAGTAGGCTGAACACTAACACTAAACGACTTTTGAAAGTCATGCTGAAATGTTAAAATTTTTCATCAAGGACTAAGGATGACCTACTGCTGACCTCAAAGTTCACGTGTATTCGGCTCTCTAACTTTGTCTCCCCTGTTCATTAGTTTCGCCACTGGGGCCAGAGGCTATTAGAAGTGTTTTACGCTAACCATTCAAACAAGAATGTTGGCTGATGATACAACCAGCACAAGATCAGTCTGCGCGACTACGTTAGTAAACAGTCCCGCGTGCTTCGAAATCCGCCACCAATCCAACCTTGTAACGTGACGATAATGGAGACTAACGGCTCATGTTGTCGCTACGATCGTGGAACATCCAGCTAGCCGTGGGAATACCCTGTAAAGCAGTGCCCTCTCGTAGCAAATACAGAAATGTAATATACCATTTATCAAGTTTACAAAACTCGGTGAAATAGTTACACAAGATAAATCCAACTATTATATAGTTCTTTCCATGTATACAATCCAGATATTGATTTGTAATCACAATATTGTAAAATATGCTTTCAATTGAAAATTGTTAAAATTTAATTAGGCGAGACGGTCTGTAAAACAGCGCCCTCCAGTGACAGAGGCAAACAAAACATTAATTCTGAGATAATACAAGTCAAACCGTTTTTTCAAAACCTAAACTACACTAACCTTGTGCATAAAATTCCTTTCACATTCGCATTTTTTAAACAGTGAAATTAGCTGAAGTCGAATAATTAATGATTCTTCATGTGAGGAAGTATGCATTAAAAAACACAGCATAAACAGGCCAATTATGTCTTCGTTATGGAATTTGAAATACTGGATTGGGAAATATTCTGTAGTAGCATAAATAAGATAGTTCCAAACATTGTTAGTGTAAAATTTTTTGCTTTTACACAGCTGTAAAACGTGACATAAGAAAGGTTTATTTCAAATGAGAAATGTTCATCCATAAGGAGGGAGGTTAAATATGAGTGTACATAAAAAAAATGAAACTAACATTTTAATTTCAAAACTTTCCCTAAGAGTAAATAAATGAATATGACAAGATTTTACCTTCAGCATTTCTCAGTTTTGTATAGAGTGGCCTTAAAATATATTTCTACATTAAATTAGCATAAATTTCTTTCTATTAGTGGGGAAAACAGGTTTCAACCCTAAACATAAGATTAGAAAGAAAGATAAATGACCTGTGTAATCAGTAAATTCATCACTTAAACAAATTCAGAGTTTTTTTTCTGTTCAACACACATATATATAAAAAGAAATTTTAAAGGAGTAATTAAATTCCTCTGGCTGGATTTTTTACTTAAATTTTTTTGGAAGAAGGAAGACCAAATTAAAAATTACGGATGCATTCAGGATATATTTTTTGCTTCAAATATTTGTCTTTTCAGGAAAAGTAATCTAATGGATGTCACGTGGCTCAGCCGTGTCCAATAAAAACATTTATAGAAAGACCGTTCTATAAAGAATAAGTTTTTCATGAGTCATTTCATACACAACTTGTTTATTATGTGTATAATGATGTGATAAAACAAATAAAACAAAAAAAAAAAAGACGAAGTGTTTTATGAATTGTATTGAAATTCTCTATCTTAAATTTTATGGTAATACTGTGAGAGAAATTAAAATCATTTACTATATTTCTGTTTATATTTGTCATTAATACAATGTACGAGTTAAAGTATTAGTTAGGAGTTACTTAAGCACTTTAATTTTCGACATTTAACGCATTTTCGATCAGTTGTAACAGTACAATATGTGGAATATTGTGAAGAAGTTCATTACGTGGAATATTGTGAAGAAGTTCATTATGTGGAATATTGTGAAGGAGTTCATTATGTGGAATATTGTGAAGGAGTTCATTATGTGGAATATTGTGAAGGAGTTTGACTAATTTGTTTTTGCTTCTTTCATGACATTTTGTAAAGTCTAAGTCACTATGTTGTCTTCTTTTGTTAAATCATACAAAAGGGTAATACGAGCATTTTTGTTTTTTCAACCAATCATAATATTCAGAGAATATCGAATAAACATGCATTTTACACCTCCTTTCTTGTTGCTTTTCATTACAAGAATGTTGTTTTTTATTGCTAGCTACACAATGGTTTATCTGCGCTATGTCTGCCTCGGGAAATTGAACTCCGGATTTGTAACTTGGTAAAATTACTGCTGACCCACCAGAGGATTCATTCTAAAAAAAAACAACTGAGGTTTTTCTAATGTTCGCTTTTATATATGAAATAGTTAAATGATACATGGATGTCATATTTAATGGATTTTTTTTCGTTTTAGTGCTCCTAATAAAAACTGGGGCTTTTAAAAATAGACCTTTGCATGTATAAAGTGTAGCAATAAAAAATCTCAAAAAGTTGTATCAAATTATTAAGGAATTAAAATATTTCAGAAAATTATATATTTTGTAGCGCCTTTTGAGAGTGATTTTATTTTTAAAATGTCAATTTTAGTTTTGTTTTTGAAATGCCAGTTTAGCACAGTCGTAAATAATGTTTAAAATATTAAAAAACAGTGCTTATTGTACTTTACTGTCTTTTTCTAACAATAAAAAGTTCAAAATCTAGTAACGATATACAATAGTTCGCTTATTTAAGCATGTTGCATACATTGTGCACCCTGGTGTGAATATAAGAAAATTTATGGTGTGAAGTACGTTGTTTACATGTTTAACATCTACCCATAACTTTCAGTGGATATCAAAGAACCATTAAAAATACACGTTTATATCTTTAATAATGAATTATCTTCCCCCTATCTTTCACAGTGATGTTAATGTAATTATTCATAAAAATTCAATGGTATACATTAAAAATCCAGTTGTTCTAAAAATTAAGTTTTTGTTTTCTTAGACCAGCATACCCTATTTTGTCGTTACAGATCACATCTGGATGTAAAAACCTAAACGACATGTGATCACCCAAGTCAAGAAACCCATTAAGAGCTGCGTCGTTTATTTTCCTCTGGCGATTAATGTTTGTTTCTAACATATGTTTCAAAATATCTTAGAACGTAACTTTGACTTACACAAGAATTTTAGTTAGCTGAGAGATTATGATAGTTTTCTTGAAAATATGTATTGCAACTTAGTATTATTCTTAGTTTTCAGCCTCATACAAAGAGGTCTTTAAGTTTCAGTTATTTTATATTTTTAGAAATAAAACATGTGCTGATTTTAATACAAATGTAATATGATAAATTATGTATTATAGCATTTTGCCAGGAAATGTCATTATGAAAGTAACGAGATTCTATTTCTACGCATTTCGGATTGTTTTTTGGCTATCTGCTTTGTTCTCGGCGGAGAATCGAGCCCTCGATTTTAGCGTTGTAAGACCGTAAACTTACAACCGATACACCGGGAGACATGTTCTGGAAACTGGTTAAAAAAAAGTATCTAGTTCTAATTTCCACGTGAAACAAAATACAAAGCCAAAAAAAAAAACAGTTTTGAGTTGTCATACACTTCTTGATTGACAATTTTGAGAGCTATAGGAAAAATGACAACGTTACTAATCTTAAGTCCCCTTTTAGTTTACACTTTTACTCACAACAGACTACTGGAACTCCAAACTAACTCAGCATATAACTTGGTCTGGGGCCTGAGGATGAAGTGCACGTGAGTTTCAGATGTATTCATTTCCTGTCTGTCGCCCTTCTTCAGCAAGATGTTGCCCTTGTCTCCTCTCGTTTACACACCCTGTTCGAACAGTAATTTACTTTTTGTTTTTTCATTGATTCTCATATGATCTCGTTCTTAAATTAGTCGACGAATCTTTAGAAGAGAAAGTTCATCACTCATGCTCTTAAGCATTTAAATTCTAGCATACATACATATATTACTATCAAGTATAAGCAGGAAGAAGTACAAGTTTAACAGAATAAGATACGTGTATATTTACGTTAATGTAGAAGAATTTTTGAGAAATGCAATTTGATGTAATATGTGGAAACATGATTTGGTAAGAAGATTTTTATTACAGTGAAGTGCAAAATGAAATGGTAAATGTCAACGTAGCGCAAAACGAGGGTTATAAAACCATTAGTTTCAAAAGTTTAACGAGGTGAATCCCCTTTACAGAGTGTTATAACTTTGCCACCTCAAGTATTTCGATCTATTATGTACTCAAAAATACCAACAAACGAAACCCACTGCTTTAGAGTATGAAAAAAAGGAATAAGAATTATCATGGTGTTTTCACCAATGTTTTTCTTTTTCCTTTTCTTACATTAACAAGAGTTCAGTGAAGAGCATTTTATTTTTTGAAGCGGAAATCTCAGATAAATGACAGTTTAAAGGACTTAAATTCTTACATTTCTCGAGAGTTTCTTTATTTCACTCTTGATTCTGTGACTCCTTATTTTATTGTTTTTCATATTTGGTCATTGAAATCTGGTACTTGCATTTTGTAACATTTAAGTAAAATGAGAAATATATCAAATAATGGACAGCATTCGTATCATGTCCAGATAAGGATAGCAATATCGGTTTCGATTAACGTCTATCTCGGAATCTCATTCGCGTTAATAGTAAACTCAGTCGTTCAGTGCAACTAGATATGTTGTTAAAAAGCTTTAAACAGTTTTATGTAATATACTATTTTAACGGAGGGTGTAACTTCATTTAAGCAATTCCATAATCATTCGATTACACCTTGCATGCTGCAGAATGAAAAGATGTTTTAATTTTATAGTACATCGCCAATATTACAAGAATGTTGGGTCCTATCTTACGGGAGAGTTTTGGAGAAGAATGATTTCGACATTAATTTAAACCCATGTATGTATTTCCCAATGTTTTGAATCGCCAATACTACAAGAATGTTGGGTCCTATCTTACGGGAGAGTTTTGGAGAAGAATGATTTCAACATTAATTTAAACGCATGTATGTACTTCCCAATGTTTTGAATCGCCAATATTACAAGAATGTTGGGTCCTATCTTACGGGAGAGTTTTGGGAAAGAATGATTTCAACATTAATTTAAACGCATGTATGTACTTCTCAATGTTTTGATATGTTTCAATTTTTATTGTTTCCAAAAAAGAGAAAACTTCCTCGTTTAGCAGCATCGGTATAAATCAGATGTATACTTATACACACAGATGTGGAAGACAGGCTTGTCTTATCAGTAGAACTTGACTAATACCGAACTATGTGTTTTCTTGGTAATCTTACATTGTGTTAACGTCAATACACGTTTTGCTACGTGACTTAAATCGGCGTTTTTTATAGTTATTATTTGTGATTGGTATTTTTATTGCTATT